ATACCCAACAGAACATGGAGGCTGCTGGGAAGTCAAGTGAGGAGCTTGGATTGAAGGTAACTCATAGCATCTTCAAACTTGTTATTTCAATTACGTTTAAGGATTTAGACTCAAGAAAAAGATTACAAGGACTCTGGACTCAGTTTAAGAAGTATCAAAGAAAGGGCCTGGAGACAACTCACGGAGGGAGTAATACTAATAGGCCAGTTACTGGCCTAAGCACTTAGAATTAGACATTATTTATGGCATATTCCAATTGCTTCTGTTCATAGAATCTTAAAGTTAAAGTAATTGAACTGAATTTCTTTATTTCAGGTGCGCCACTCATAGCGAACAGTTGTAGAAATATAAAAATACAAATGAACTAAATATAATTTATACACGTGTAAAAAAGTATTTCTGGACATTTTCTATTTTTCCACTTCAGATTTGTGGGAATGGAAATGAGGAAGAGCTGCAGCAGCACCTGGAGGAGGTGCTCAGCGACCAATCAGAAGACGACGGGTCCGTTCCGAGCAACATCGAGAACCGACAGCGAGCCAGGATGGCGTCCGGGAACAGTGAGGCCTCGGACACGACGGAGACCATCAGTAACCGCCCTCGCGCCGAGACAGACTCCGCTGCCAAGAGCGGGACTGAAGCTGAGCTGGAGGAGAGTGAGAAGGCAGGGAAGGAAGGTGGGGACTGTTTTCCTGTGGGGCATGTGTCCTTTGTCTGTATAGTGTTTCAGAGAGTCAAGATTTCAAAATTTTCCAGGAAAGCATGCTGTTGGACTTCCCTTGAATTGTCACACTCGGTGCTCGGCATGATATTGCAGAAAACAAAATTGAGATGGGGAAAAATTTCAGGCTCGCTAGAATGCTGGATGGAAGACCTAAACTTTGGTACTAAAATTGTTTGTAAAAGTCTGCAAGATAGCTCAGTGTTCCTTCCTGTATTCCCTACCACAGCTCGCTTGCGCTCCACCTCAGAGCCCCCCACCCCCTGTGCAGACGAGGAGTGTGTGATCTTTAACGGGGTGACGTACCTGGGCTGCTCCGCCGTGAACGCCCCCCGCAGCGAGATGGAGGCCCAGCGCTGCATGTCCATCCTGCGCGAGTCCTCACAGATGTCCATCGACGTGGTCCTGTCTGTACCCACCACCTCCGAGGGAACTGTCAGGTGGGTCCGGGGTTCTATTCCCAGTCAACCTGCCCTCTAACTATTTGATTCATGAGGGTTGCTTAATTTTTCTTTTGTTCCAGGTAACTTTATTGAACTAATTCTTTTTCTTTGTCATCATGCTCATCAAACTTCATGCAGGTTTGTAAGAAAGGTCCTGTTTAACTCCATGGGGAATATATACATTGTATATAGGGGTGGTGCCCATCTCTATTTGAATGTTTGTAAAGAATGTCAAAACCAAATAACTAAGAATTGTTAGGAAATGTGTGTCAGGAAACAGTTGACTTGTAGCCCAACAGTCAATAGCAAAGTGCAATCTATCACTTACTACTATACTAGTATAGGCAAAGCCTCCACATCAGCCCTCTGTGGTCCTTCTAGCAGAATTGATCTGAAGTGCAGCTACAGTATCTCTCTGACAACAATGTTACCCATGCATGTTTCCCAGGGTTCTGGAGCCAGACGGAGCTGAGATCGCGCACTACCGCGTCCACCGTATCCTGTTCTGCTGCCGCGGGAAACAGGAGACCAGGGAGAAGGACTGCTTCGCCTTCACCAGTAGTCATGGCAACTCGGACCTGTTCCAGTGCCATGTGTACAGGTGTCAGCTGCTGGAGGCTGTGAGTTCACTTTTACTTGGAACCTCTGTCAAACTGTGTGTTCAATTATTAGCCCTTGTCCTGCTGGCATTTTTTACACAATATTTTTCAACAATTTCATGTCTTAGTCAGGTCATAGACCCCTGACTTTCTTTGCCCTGTGGTGGCATAGTTACTTATGTATGTTGCGTTTTGCTGTGCTCTGATGCGTTGCACGAAAAATACCCCTAAATTGTACCTGTACAGGGTGCTATATGGATGGTACTGTATGTGCAACCCAACAATTGTTGGGGCCGCAGGGTTAGTAACTACCATAAGTAAATGATAAGTAATTATGATTGGAATTGAAAGATCTAGGTCATTTTTTGGCTCAAAGCAAGAGGGAAATTTTGATATTAAGGCAGAAAACTGATGAGCAACTCTCCACTCACACATTACAAACCTAGTCCAAACTCAATGTCAAGTTGCCAACACAATTACTTTTTGGTATTCTGAAAGTAAAATCTATTGATCTAGAACTTCTGCTCTTGAGACTGCATTTAAGCCTAGCCCACTTTGAATGTGTCCCCTGTGAAGTTGTGCACTTGTTATGTCTGAGATTCTGCACAGTAATTTTGTAGTGGGAATTAACAGGACAGGATCTCAAGTAGCATGGGATGACGTCTAGAGAAACCTACCCACCACTTGTATGTACGTGTAGGGTAATTTGACAGGCACATGTACTGCATGTGAAACAGGTGGGTTGTGCCCTATTTTACATGTAGATGCAGGTTGGTTCAAACTGTATTTCTAAGCTCTGTTCTTGAGTGACAACCAGGTCCGGCATGTAGGTTTACAATTAGAACATTCATGCCTTGTTGTAATAAAAAATTGAGTTATGGTGGCAATGTGTAACAGTTGTCCTAATTCTGACCAGAATCAATCACAAGCCAAGTGACTGAATCAGTTTGCCTGGGCATGGTGTTAGTCACACGTGTGTGTCGAGTATCACTTGTGAGAGCTAAGCTGTACTTCAGTAATTAGGTGACAAAAAACGATCTGTTGAGTAGACGATGGAGCACTTGTGATATGCAGATTGGCTAACACAGTAACAGGTAAAACACTCCATATTGCATACTGTTAAATTGTGTAAATATGATTTTGTTTGTGTGGATATTTAATGTCTTTTGTGTATGTATGCCGTTAATTGTCTAATATTGCTATGGCAACCTAATTTTGGAGACTATGCAGTTCAGATATCATAACTGACTGGATTTAATCAAATTTCTCTTTGGACATGAAAATTTCAGTGGACAGTTTGGTGTTATTTTGATAACTGAAAATGGGTTTTCTCAGGATTCTAACATTTCAGAGCTTGGCACACTGAAATCAAATTGACATGTTATTGGCACCATGCCATGTGTCCGCTTGTCACCGATTTGTTTTCTTACCTGGAGGTAGTAGTTATATATAAACAGGACATTTCACTAAATGTTGCAAAGTTTTGGAATGGTTTGATGTCAGTAACAGCTATAACTTGCTTTTCAGTTACAAAGGATGTCAGACTTTTTCGGTATCTAATTTCTAAAGCTTCTGTAATACATGTAGGTTGCATGTACACATGTGCACAATAAGTAAGTAACCCTGTTTTGTAGGTAGAAGTAAGTTGTGATATCTCAAGGGCTGACCTTTATTTGGCATATGAACAGGGGCAGTAGAGTTGGATAAAGTTAGGCAAAATTTCCTTGGTCAGCATTGTTTGGGAGGATATAGGGGTATAGGAAAGGTAAAACAAGGTCATGGTTGGTTTCCGGTAAAATTGCAATCCTGTTGACAAAACTGCAAAAGGAGAAATACAGAATTAGTTATTTTTGCATGTAGAACTTACTGCATGTTTCTTTGTCACCACGCAGGTTCCCAAGATCATGTTCAGCTTTGCGCGAGCCTTCAAGGCTGTGCCCAAGTCACCCCGCAGCCTGGGCGTGTACGAACCCAGCGGAGACGACGAGGATCTGTTCCGTTTCGACGTGACCTTGGAGGTCAAGGAGGATGATGGGAGGGCAACCTACAGTGCCGTGCCTCGGGTAAGGGGTTAAACTTCTCCCTGCTGTCCAACCCAGTAACCAGCTGCCTGACCCAATAACCAGCTGCCTGACCCAATAACCTGGTTGAGCTGCCTAACCCAGTGACCTGCTACCTAACCCAGTAACTAGCTGCCTAACCCAGTAACCAGCTGCCAAAGCCAGTAACCAGTTGCCTAACCCATTAACCAGTACAATTATGAAAGGGCATTATTACAGTGTTACTGGAGAAATATTTGTGGGAAAAACGAGTTTGAATCTATGATAGTTAAAAGTTTGACATGTTGAAATGTTTGGACAACTGTATATCATACTGTTCTCCCTTTTTTGGATGTCTTCAGGACAAGCAGTTCTTCAAACTGAGGAAAGACCTTCAGAAGAAGATCAACATCAACGTGCAACAGCTCTCCAACGAGGACCTAACCATCGAGCGGTGAGGAAAACCTCAACATGTTTTTTTCTGTAAACCTCCTCTGCAAGTCTGCACAGAAAATGTGACAGTTTCAGTTCTTAAGATATCATCTTTATCACATTCCCATTATAATATTTATCATATTTATCATCTACCCCCTGCAGGTGTTTTGGTCTGCTGCTATGTCCAGGGAGGAATGTGAAACACAGTGACATGCACCTGCTGGACATGGTGAGCCCGGCCCACACTTCAACTGTGCCTGTCTGTGATAAGATTGGATGGGGGGTAGGGACACACGGTCAGGTCTGTTACGGTGCTGGGTGAGAGGTGCCGTAAGGTTCGTGGGTTGTAGTGGCACACTTCTTGGGTCTACATGATGTAGGGAGGGACAACAATCACTCTGTCTGCTGTACACTTGACGAGAGATGGCATAAGGTCCGTGGGTTGAATGAAGATGCACTGTTGCTTGTATTAAAACTCCAGGTGAAGTGTTGCTTGGGGTGTGCTAGTAGATCTGTTGATACTGTTTGTAAAAACTCAGTTGATATTGGTGGTAGCTGCATGGGATTTTAAGTGCAGACAAGAAGGGAAAAACTACCTAACTGCAAAACTGTTAGCTGTAGCAAAACTATTTTTTCAAAGGTATAGTCAGGGTGCTATGGTGTGCCTGCTGCCCACCTATCTAGGTCTGCCACAGCTGTAATGTTTAATTGACACCTACAGTAACTGTTATACATACATGTAATACAAGTAAGGAGGTGCAACTACAAACAACTTGTATATTGCAACACTTGTTGACTAAACAATAACAATATGCTTCAGGACCAGTGGGAATAAGATCAGGGCAAACATTACTTTGCAGCAGCTCAACTATCTCAGGAAGAAATATAGTTAGAAAACATCAGCTTTGTTAGTGAGGCAAACAGTCGCTTCAGTAGTGTTAGGCAAAGTGGTGTTTCTGTAAAATGAGTTGTACAGATAGGCAAAGTGTGCAGAATCCAACAAGCCAATCCAGCAGTTTAAATGCAAGCATGTCTTGTAATTGAATTTGTACAGTTAGGCTAACATTGAATTGACAGTAGCACTGCTACCAATTTTACTTTAATACTTAAAGTGCACTAAGATGACCATACAGCAGAAGTAGATGACTATAATGACTAGTAGCATATCTGTGTTGGTAAATTGGATAATGAAGTTTTGATACTTAGATCAACAAAGTAAAGACAGCTCACCTCAAATTTTGGGCTGCTCTTCTGTCAACCTTCTTCAGGAGTGATGATTTGAGTTGAACGTGTCTTTGCTGTGTTGATCTTAAGTATAAAAACTTCATTATGGATGACTAACATGTTTTGTTCCCCAGGACTCGATGGGGAACAGTGCGGATGGCAAGTCTTACCTCATCTCAGGCAACTGGAACCCTTCTGACCCACAGTTTGTGGTGCTCAACACAGAGACTCCAAAAAGTAAGGCAACACAATGGTTTTGTTGCATGCATAGTCTAGTCCAGTGGTTAGCAACCCTGCCTCTGGACTAAGAGGTTGGGAGTTTGAATCCTGGATGCTGTCACTCACTCAACATGCATGCTACTGTAACCGGTCACAGTCCTTAGGACGGGACATTAAGCCATGGTCCAGAATGATAACAACTAGATCACATATAGCATGCTCTTGCTTGGTGTAAGATTGAGTTACGTTTTTAAGGATATTTTTTAGCTTGCTTAAACATTTCATTCTTTTATTTAATTTTTTTTTACTGCATTACAAGAAACTTACAATGTTTCTCTGTTTCCCTCAGACACCCGAGTGTTCATGACCATCGCCATTGACCTTGTGATCACGGGGATTCAGGAGCCGGTGAGGTTCGTGGTGGAGACCAAGGCTCAGATCTACCCCTCCAGCGAGCGCTTCTGGTACTTCAGCAAGAAGACTTTCCACGAACAGTACAACCTCAGGCTCAAGCAGGTAAAACAAGTTTTTTAGAATACCAAGGATTGAAATGTTCAAAACTTTTTTCCCTAGAACTAGAGTGGGATTGCCACCAAGTACAGTTGGGGCATAATCACTATAGAGCTTTAAACAACAGGTTTATACTCCTGATCTTTAAATACTTTTAAATGAAGAATGGGCCACAGGTAAATTTTGACAAATATTCTGCATTTACAAAGAAATGTTAGATTTCTACATATTCTTAGCTGAAGAACAACGAATAAGTCATCAGCTTTTGCGGTTGCTCAGATTTGAACTCAGGGCCTGGGTTTGCCCTAGTATTGTCTTGTTACAGAGTTAATGAAATAAGAATTGGTTTTTGTTTGTAGATTGAGGGAAGCAGTCCGAATGAGAAGCTGTATGAAGTCCTGAGCCTGGAGAGTCAGTCGGAGATCGACAGAAAAAAAGCGAGCATGAACCTGCCGCTGTCCCCGGCCCGCAGCCCGCCCGCTGTCATGCAAACCTCACCTACCCCGGCCACCCCTGCCATCGAGGAGGAAGATGGTACGTTCCTTTTTAATCCTAGTGTTTGCATGTGTCACAAACTGGTGTGAAATATGATGTGCATATAGTTTTCTACTTATATAGAATGTGAACTTGATTTCTGAATATACATTGTACTGCATTATTGGTGAGAACTGGTGAGAGGGAAGCGAATTGTTTCATTTTGCATTGATGAAATGGGTAAAAAAAGATATAGAAATGCAATGATAAATACAACAAGAAATATTATGATAAAGTAAGTTGGTATTTGTGTGTATGTGTGTGTGTGTTGTGTGTTGTCACACAGTTGAGAGAGAGTGTTTGTGTGCATGAGTGCATGTTTGTGTGTTTTTCAAATACTATTAAAAAATGGACAACCAACAAGTTGCACGGACATAATCATTCACCCAATAGGACAGGTTTGCTCCAGACAGGTGATAAGACACATCAGTTTGTGTTGCAGCTGCCTCTGCTCATTGATGTTCTACGTACACCGTCAGAACTTACTGCCCCCCACCTCTGTAGGTCACTGGTACAAAGGCAGATGGATAGGCAGTGTCCAGTGTGTATCTACATTTGCAGTCAGCCTTCTGTTTATATGTGTGGAGAATACTGATCACGTCTTTTTGCTGCGTAACATTGGCTCAGTGTCAAGTGCTTCCCAGATTGAAATATAGACAAGAACGATTATCATTGTTATCTTTATAATTATCTCCAAGGCCTGAAAACATGCAAATTGCAACTGCCAGGTTGAAATCAGAAGGTAACATGCTAGAATTTTTTTGACAGATATTTTCTTCCATTTGATTACACCAAAGCAGGTTGAATGGGAAAGACGACAGCGGGCCCAAATTATATTGGATTTTGTCTTGTCTTGGCATGGGGTATTCAGAATGCTAAATCGGTTAGCGAGGTGAAGCATGTTGCATTTGGCACAGCTCTTTCACTGTAAATGCCTCCAGCCAGACGCCATGAATCAGGAACATGTCGCGTACACACAAGACCAGGCCATTGTTGTTGAATATTCCAAAGGTGGGTCGGTATTTTCCACAGTGTCAGGACTGCCGAAATACTGTCTGTCTCTGTGAAATCAGATGTTCTGTTTTTCAAGGTGACCCCTGTGATTCTTCTAGGGTATGTTACCTCCCACTAGGTACATGTATTTGCAATGCCATGTTGAGGATTATTATGTCTTGTAATTATAGATGTCTACACAGGTACATGAAGTGTATACTTGGGACATAATAGTCAGCATCAAAGGTTACATAACGTCATCATCCGGAAAAAATCAGTTATTATGATAATTGAATTCTTATGTAACTGCATTAACCTGTGATTGAATCAAAATTATGGTGGTGTAGCATGTAGGAAGCTACATGTGTCACAGCAAGAAGGAAATTTGTTTTTGTTCCTTTCTTGTGATTATCATGATGAGAGGGATCTGAGAGGGAGGGGAGAAATAATGAAAAGTCTGGATGTAGTTAGAGATTACATAAAGGTTGTGTAACATTTATGCTTGTCTCTGTGTTATCATCATAATCATGGGCAGTCGTAACAGGAAAGCTAGGTAGTCTTTAACTATAAATATATGAGACATTTCTAGTTGTGATCAGAAATAACTGAAATAGATATTTGAAAATGTCAATGGTTTATGTAGAAGCAAAAAAGATTGATTGAAAATGGAGCATTTTCCACATCACCACTTGAAATCTATATTGACTAAAAAGAAACATTCACATCACTAATTTCTCACCTGTATTTCTCACCTGTAGCCGGTCAATAGGTACCCTGTATGGGTAATGAGACCGCACTTCGGGTAGTTTCGGCGGTAGCAGTTCTTCTTCTGTGATCAGTACGTAAAGGTGTAGTTGTACATATCCTGGTGATTCTTCCACTCGTGTGCGATATGGTTCTTGAACTCATTTACTGATTTGCTGGACACTGCTTCCTGGGAAAGAGAGTTCCACACACTTGTGACTCTTGAAGAGAAGAAGCACTTCCTCGTCCCGTGTGATTTTTGTACTTGATACTTGAAGGAGTGGCCCCGTGTGGTGGTTGAAAGACTGGGTTCAAACATGGTCCCTCTACAAATACTGCAGCTGTTTCCAACTCTTACTTTGTCATACCCGTGTGTGATTTTGTAAAGTTGGATCACGTCTGTCCTTTGTCGTCTGAAGTTGAGTGTCGGTAACTGGAGAGCCTGGAGCCTCTGGGGATAAGGCAAGTGGGACACTGACTCCACAAGCTTTGTAGCTCTTCTCTGCACTCTTTCGACACTGTCCCTGTCTCTCTTGGTTGTAGGACACCATATCACGGTTGCATATTCTAAATGTGGACGGACTAAGCTCTTATAAAGAGGTAGAAAAGCCTCCTTGTCCAGGTACTTGAAGGTGTGCCTAATTGCACCCAGAACTCTGTTGGCCTTGTTTACTTGAACCTGGACGTGTGTGCTAAACTTGAGGTTACTGTCAATCGTCACCCCCAAGTCCTTCTCCTCATGTGTCACCTTCAGCGTGTGGAGTGTTCCATCTTCCTTTGTCATAGTGTACTCGTGTGTGGGGTTTCTTCTTCTCAGGTGCATTACTTTACACTTGTCAGGATGAAACTTCATCTGCATCCTAGATGACCATCTCTGCAAAGTATTCAAGTCAGCCTGTAGACATGTGGAGTGTATATTGCTCGTGTGGATTTCTTGGGTCGCATGTGTTATGGTCTGGCTCGTGTGGAGTTCTTGAGTCGCATGTGTCTTGGCCTGGCTTTCACACCCATGTGCAATGGCGTAGATCTTTGTGTCGTCCGCAAACAAGGAAACAAAGTTATGTAGCTCATCGGGTATGTCACTGACGAACATTGAGAAAAGAAGCGGTCCCAACACTGACCCTTGTGGTACGCCACTCGTCACCGCTTTCCAGCTGGATGCTTGGCCGTTGACTACGACTCTCTGTCTCCGGTGCGTCAAGAAGTTTCTAATCCACAGTAGCAAGTTCTCTGCTATGCCGAAGGATTCTACTTTGTTGATCAACCTCTCATGTGGAACCGTGTCGAACGCTTTAGCGTAATCCAAGAAGATAATATCCACCGGTACACCGTGGCTCAAGGCCTCCGTCCACACATCCAGTGCCTCTAGTAGGTTTGTGACTGTGGATTTACCCTTGGAGAATCCATGTTGTTGTTCGCATGTGAGGTTGTTGACTCTCATGTGTTCTAGTATAGCATCTGATATGAATCTTTCTAGCATCTTGCAGATTATGGATGTCAAGGACACCGGTCTGTAGTTAGCCGGATCTGTTCTGCATCCTTTCTTGTAGATTGGAGTCACGCATGCCTAATGAAGGGTGGTAACCATCATAAAGGTCTTCCCAGCACATCAGGAGAACATACGTATATATATTGTATAATATATTGTAAATAGTAATTAGGCAGAATATTTTTTAAGGTTATATTTGCATTGTGTAAAGATGACATCCCATCTACAGTTTTCAAAAGTTATGAAGGAAAAGATATTGCCGGACATGTGTTCTTGTCACTCTTCGTGGCAAGTATCTTAGGTCTAGAGACCAGATAACACAGTTCAAATGTAGAACCACTAGATATTGCAAGAGCGCATTACCCTTCCTGGTAGACCTACTCAACAAAAAAAGGGTTAGCACCACAAATAAGCAGTAAGAGAGCACATGTAAGATTTGAAATGCTTAGTTTATGTATGTATTCTTTAATGGAAAATCATAGTTTACATCAATTATTGAAGGCTGCCACCGTATGATCTGTAATGATGATGATATAAATAAACCATTCGTTCGTCTGCATTCTTCAGAAAACGACGAGCCCCTGCTGAGTGGTTCAGGTGATGTGAGTAAGGAGTGTGATGAAGGGGACATCCTGGAGCCATTGAAGGCTGTCACTGTATGATCTGTAATGATAATGATGATGTAAATAAACCATTCATTCGTCCTTGATCTTCAGAAAACGACGAGCCCCTGCTGAGTGGTTCAGGTGATGTGAGTAAGGAGTGTGAAGGGGACATCCTGGAGACATGGGGAGACATGCTGGCCAAGTGGAGACAGAACCTCAGCACCAGGCCTAAACAGCTGCACCAGCTCTGCAGGAAGGTCAGGAATAATCTGTGTTCCTCGGGGAAATATCGTCTGTTTTAGGTTATGAAAAGAGAGCTGTGGTCTTACAAACTTGGCCTTTGCTTCAATGGGGACCTGAAATCTCAATTTTCTATACATTTTGGATTAAGCATATTTAGCTTTTTTATGCTCAAAAATTGAGGCCTCCTAAACTAGGGACTTTTTCTTTAGAAACCTTTTATCAACATTTTAAGCCAGGCATCTGGCACCAAATTTGTATTGGGTATGTACTAAGAAAGGGTAATGTTGAATGTGTTGTTGTTAATCTCTAAGCAGATCTTTCGGTGGCCACCAAAAGATCTGCTTGGAGATGATTTTGTCGCACCATTAGTACAATATGTAACTTGTTCATAGTTATGGGTTCACCACACCACGAAGTGGTGGTGAACCCATATTGCTTTTTCTGATGTTTCTTCTCCTCCTCCTTCTCCTCCTCCTCCTCCTGCCATATCTTTAAATGGATTCAGCTTCTTCATTTTAGGGCCTAAGGTCCTGAAATTTGGTATGGAGGTACAGTGGGCAAATACCCCTAGGCGTTTTTTAAATTTTTGTGATACAGGCTTTTAGAATGGTTTTATTTGAGTTTTTTGGCTGTGTTATAGCAAATGTATTACTGTGTTAGTGTGCCGTGTTTACCATGAGTCATCACAATGGAATGCAGGGCATCAACCAATAGGCATGCAGCTTTCCTCTATACTTCTTGCTGATTGGCTGTTGGGATTTAACTTGATTAACACCTGCACAGAGTATTTCCATACTGACAGTATGTCTTTATTCAAGTGTTTTGGTAGGTATTTCAAGCTTTTCTGCTCCAGCATTGGAATGCGGGGCATGAACGTTTTTTATTTTATTCTGAAAAATGAACAGTTTGCATTATGCAATTAAAAATCCTAACCAATAAAGTAGGGAATAGCTATCCAACTGTTGTTTTAGTTGTATGTTACTTCATATTATAGCTGTATAACTATAATATGAAGTAACATACAACTAAAACAACAGTTTCAATGTAATTAAAACTAAATCATTGTTTTCCCTTGTGTTTCTCATTCTTTCCCTGCCATGTGGTAAAATGTGGTGAACCCATCGCTGTATTTGCTCCAAAGCAAATATTGGCCTTTCTAGTTATTTGTATAACTTATAAAAGTTGTTAACATGTTCTCCTGTAGGGTGTGCCCGAGGCTCTGAGGGGGGAGGTGTGGCAGCTGCTGTCTGGTTGCCATGAGAACGGACCACAGATGATGGAGAACTACAGGGTCCTCATCACCAAGGTAACCTCATGATTTTCTTTCATTTATTTACTGTAATTGCAACGTCACAATATAGTGGACTACCCAACAGAGGCAAAGGCTGATATTAGATGCCACAGTTTCTGGGAAGGCTGCATCACCCTCTCTACCTGTGTGAAAAGGGTTTATAGTCCCTGATACTACATGCTCATATGAACACTTGTAGGTTTGAAAGTTATTGTTGTAAAATAGATTTTGTTCAACTTATGGTTTTACAGTAAGCCTACACTTTCTGCAACATATTTGCCATCTAAGTGGCCATAACTACAATGTATTAGTAATTAGTCATGCTGAGAAAGGTAGGTGTGTGTCACAGTTTGTTTGGGTCTGTCAGGTGTCTTTAAAACACCCGATGTCCGGTTGGATATCAGACAAAGTTGGTTCTGTCCTTGGTGCTGAATTGTTGTTAAATCAATGTTAGTTGTCACTCTTTGTTCTTGTTTGGTGCTGTTCTGCCGTATACTTTTTATCTATTTGGCTAGTCTTAATCTGACATTATTATTTTCAAGTTTAACATATGAATTATACAAGTATCAAATCATTTGCAAGTAGACTGCAATTTTCTTATTGATCACAAGGTGGTGCTGTGACCACGGTCCCATTCCAAGTTGTTCCTCAAGTTGTTATGTACCAGTATCTTGTACATGTACCAGGGTTATTTTTCCTCATAGAATGTATAAAATATAGGTCAAGCTTGCTGTACAATGGATCCTACTTTTATAGTCCACTAATAGAAAATTCATTCATTGAATATATCTCAAGAAGAAAGTGTATGTACTATCATCCATGCCATCTTGTAATGGAGATCAAGAATGTCTTCATATCCATCGTCCACAACTGGAAAAGCCATTACACAAGGAAAATGACCCTCTAGTACATCTCTATTGCCATTTCAAAGGCCATCATGTTTGAAGAAAAATTGAAAAGTCTCAGAGTAGGTGACCCATAAAAGGCAGCCCTCTTATCCTGTGATTTGGGTCAAACATGTTGCTGTTATCCCTTGATAATCCGAAGTAGTCAATCGAGATCTGTATTTATGACATAAACAATTCATCACCGTAGACTGATGGGGGCTGATCGCACACAAGAATTGATTGTGAGGTGCCCCCAGGGAGAATGGTGAAGGGGAAACTGGGTCAAGATGAGATAATTATGGTGTTATCAGATTGTCTCACCACAGGTGTGGTTTTGTTTACAGCCTTCTGTGTCTGTTTTACACCTCTGAGACTGATGAACACACTGATGAAAGATATCATATGTACATTGTATGACCTCCAACGGTCAATGGAAGATGTCACACACTTCATAAATAAGGATGTGTCCATGAATGTTTCTGAATAAATGGTTCATTAGCATCTGCAAAACATCACAAAGGTACTTACTGTGCATGTGGTAGTCAGCTAAACGATATACTAGTACATCTGGGTTAAAGAAAAACCAATACAAAATTTTAGTTGGATCAGTTAACATGGTCATTCAATATTGATGACAATGCCCTGAGATTTCAACTTCTAACTCACTAGCTGATTAACCTGAAGAACCTTTGATTGACTAGATCGCAATATTAATTTGGTGATGTGAAAGATTAACTTTCAGTCCTGTGCCAAAAATGAGATGCGTTGTAATGTGTGGCTTTCACAATGTGACGGAAGGCTTGGCACAGGCTACCATTCTATGTCGTGTAGCATGATGAAAGCACACAGTTCACATTTCCTGCCAGGACATATCATCAGGATTCACTCTGTCAGCGGCTGTCAGGTTCTGACCTCCCGCTGCTATACCAGTTCCATCAGTGGGCAGTTCTAGACATCAGCACAAAGATGAGGAAATGTCAGGACAGGGAGGGACCTACGTAGTAAACCAATGACTCAAAAGAGCAGAGTACAAGATTGGCAGAGATGGACAGTTCTATTATGGGATGCCCATCCCTAGATGGCGTATATGGGTTCATCCACCTTGTATCTACTGAAGTTTTGAAAAATACATGTGTAATGATTGTATAACCTTGATGTATTTGTGCCTCTAGAATGCAAGTAAATAGACAATGAAACATAAAAGTAAAAAAAATAAGTATTTTCTTACTTAAAGCAAGTATTTACAGATTAGGTAAGTACCGGTATATTATGGTCTGTTATAATGGGTGATTTTATTGCTGTTTTTTGTTTTTTTGGCGATGAGTACTGTAAGTATGACGACAGCTACAATTAGAATCCAAACGATACATGAGGTTGCAACATTTGTCGATGACAATTTCAAGAACCTTATATCATTGGAAGCTTACTGAATCACCCACCCGTGCAAGACGAATGAGTGAGAAACAGTACAGGGATACTGATTCATGGTTCAATTTTCTGAGATATGACAAGATAGGGAAAGCGATGCATGTCAATTAAGATAACACAGAGATGCAGATCAATAAATGTCCCAGAAACTGGGGGAATACAACCAAGGGTTTCTATCATCAATGTACAGCATGTATATATGACACATCTGTATCGCAAAGATACCATGGGGAAACCTATATAAAGGCTGGCAAAATATGTTGATGTGGTTGTGGCCACTAGGGTGTCATAACATACCAGCAGATGTTTAATTAAAATATATGCCTTTAGGAGAAGTGCAAACTCATGGGCTGGAACTTATGTGCATCAAGAAATTATTATTTTTTCCTTCTTGTATAATGTGTGAAGTACATTGCAATATAATAGAGACTTATTTAAGGGCTTAGGGACACCACATTACATTGAAAATAGGGTTTTTATCACATTGGTTGAACTTGGTTCTAGAGGATTTTTCTTCAAAGTTGACTCTTTTTGCTGTGGGTATCACACTATATTTTTAGGTTATTTACAACAAATTACCGGTACAATTCAAATGAACATCGTGCTGTTATTTTTCATTCAAATTTTCAAAACTTGACGAAATACTGAAGGGAATTACATATTATAAAGATGTAAAAAGTGGGAATTGCTTGGCCATGTTTTGTTTATTTTGCATGTTGTTTTCAATCTTGACATTATTGTCCCACACCCCCTGACAGGAAGTCTATGAAGAATGATCGGGACGTCTCCTAATGACAGTTATCCCCAGCAGAGTTCGCATGTTGCCCTGTAACCATGTCATTAATGCTTGCACATGCAATTTCAAAGCTGAGGGCTCTCAGTCTTGATGAGTTACGAGCCATGGCTCAAGCTTGGAATTCAAAGTGTTTCCAGTGTCATATGATGTATGTTACAACGTTATCATGCCACAGTTTCTGTTGTTGAAAGTTGTTTCAAATCAATTTCTACCTATCAATCAGCTAACCTGCCTAACTTTTGTTGCCTAGATATAGCCAAAGGTACTATCTTATCTTACCTCACATCAAACGACCTTGAAATAACGCGACAGTCGTAATTTCCTCTGGCCATCTTTTCTGCCAAAGTAGAAACCAGAAGAAGCTGCAGAAGAACAGTGAAACATAAAAGGAAGATTTTACTGATGAAGGTTCATGCAGATACCTTGATCTAACAAAATTTTGAAGCAAAACAAGTTATTTTGAGGTTGTTGCCAGCTGGGACAAACCAGATTCATCCATCCAGTGTTGAACCCAGCCTGAAATTGTTTCCCGTCATTTCAATTTTGTTTGATGTAACATCATGTCAACTGTTGAAGGCGACAATCCCTCTAGAGGATCCGGAGGCATGCTCCCCTGGGAAATTTTGAAATCTTGACCCTCTGAAATGCTGTTTCCTGCATTTTGCAGGACAAATTTTGCATGGAGACTGAGCTGAGTCTAATAACATCTCTTTCCATATCTTTTCACACAGATCTTTTCTTTCTGTCAAAGATGATGGATATAGGACAACAGTTTTGTCAATTATGAGTGGCAAAGTTCTGACAAATGATGGAAATAATGATGCTGACTAGAAGACTGGATTCATCACCTAGACACTCAGTTCTTAATGATCATGGGAGTGTACTGTTGTACATCAGAGGTACCACACAACATGGCTGTGATTTGTCACTGTCAAGCTCATAGCAGGCTTGTGCTAAACTCCCACTACAGAAAAAGGTCAGGTTTTCCCCCACAGTGGTTTCAGTCATTGGATTAAGGATTAGAAGAGAGAAATTAAAGGAAAGGGATTTTGAGGTGGCTCGTGACAGCACAGTCAATATCATGCATGGTCAGAGTTACAGCTTCATTGTACATTGTACATGAAGTTCATTGTTGGTGTTTAAATCTGTTTTGGGTAGATCCTGTGATGTGGATAGGGGAATCTTTGGCTTACCTTGTGCAAACTGATCTTTAATGTGAATTGTCAACAGTAACAATTGTAACGATAATGGATGTATTTCCCATATTTCATGTCATTTCCTATCCTTCCCTGCTGAGGAACTTCTAGCCTTTTTTTGGTACTGAATTTGTATTAGATAGGAATATTACAAGATCTGAAAGAAGGGCACATTTAATTGGTCGCATTACAAATGGAATTCAAGAGCAAATTGTATACCAGGTCCTGTATTTGTATCCTTAGAATATCATTATTAATGTAAATATCTTGAAACAGGTGGTTACAAGAAACAACCTTTCGAATCCGCATTGCCTGCCATTGACTTTGACCTTGAGTGAAAAGGTGTTGACTGAAGGTCAGATGTACATGTTGAGCCGACATTAGCCAAACTGTGCGTGATGGCAACTTTGGAAATTATCAGGTTTCTCATGAATCACGGTGTGCAGCGTGGTGGAAGTCCAGTGAAATATGAGCCGGGTGCCACACCGAGGCGATGATCGATGGAAACGTGCTGTAACGTGCGCCGCTGGGTTTAATGGAAACACGTGTTGATGAAGCCATTTGTATTCTCCGGGTGTTGAACTTGACTTTTATCCTTTTGAAGTTGGAGTTCTTAGACAACATACCTTCGCAACTTTATATCCACTGTTGGATTGGCATGCCCACGCTTGCTTGTCAATGAGTATTCAACATTCTTCTCATGTCCCA